ACTGTTTGATTGTGATTTTAATTTAAAACTCTTTAAGTTAATACCTTGATTGATTTGGTTCTTGCTTTGCAAGTGACTTGTTGCGAGCTTGTCTATCAAACATTATTTTTCAATCTTTAAATTAACAATGCCGATCCGCATTCATCGCATTGGCTTTCGCTCTTAGCTTCAGACAACAAATGGCAATAATTAATTCTCCATGTAGCTACTGCCCAACTATGATGACCAATGACCTACTTTGTTCAGTGTCCTATTGCTTTAAAGAGTTTTTATTATTAAATCATTTATTGGAAGCTGAAAAAAATGTGCTTCGCTTATGATTTTTTTATTGCTGGTATATATCCTCTTCCTGAAGATAATTCTATTTAAAGTAGTCAAAGATTAAATGTAAGCACCTTTCTCCATAAAAAATTCAGACATTGATCCCATCAAGTTGTAAGAAACTAGCTTCAACTAAATCCAATTCCAATTGGTTTTGAAAACTGACTTTTTTTTTTTTTCCTACTTAAAAGCATAGAAAAAAATATTATATCATTGGCACAGAAAAGAGAGAGAAATATTATGTCAAACTATCTCTTGCGTTTTTTTAGTTGCTGACGGACAGCCAACATAAGGAGATCTTTGATCCTATAAAATTATAAAAGAAAAAAAAAAGACAGGAGGGAAAGAGGGAGAGAGAGAGGAGCTGAGAACCAAGCAAAGCTTACTGCCTTACTGCAATCCCCAGCAACTACTATTTCGAGTAGCTCTTATCACAAGCACAGCCTATCTTACATTATTTTCATATTGACCAAAGTACAAGCATGAAATTTAAAACCCAGCCATGATTCATATCAAGGGAACCAGTATGACATGACCTAGAAGCCCCCTACCTGCAGCTGCATATTGCAAGAACCCCGTTATATTCCAAATATCAGTTCAGCCATTTCAGTTTCATCACAAATAATTGGTAAACAACTATCAACGTCTTATGAAATGAAATCAATCCATAAAATCAGGAAATTATAACCCAAAATCTCAGTTCGGATGCTGACGACTGTTAACATGTCCTCTCAGCCCAGTATTATTAAAGCCCAACAAATAAACCTAATATGGCCAATTATCCAACATATATGTGTTCAGGCCACAATTCTTGAATAGTCTTCTAGGACTCCGTGTTACTGTTTATCTTTGTCCATTTGCACCCGTATCACATTACACTTAGAGCCGGTAATTCAGGCGGACCGGGCTTATTCGGGTCGGGCTCAATTCAGGCCGGCTTACTCGGATCGGGCTTAAAGCATCCTACCCCTTCTAAAAGCCCATATAGCCAAGCCCGACCTTAACACCTTCGGGCTTCGGGCTTATTCGGGCTGGCCCGGATACCCAAAACTTTTTAAAAAGATTTTTTCTGTATTTTTTGAACCAATTTTAATTTTTAAATAATTCTATTAATCGTAAAATATTATCTTAATTTTAAAAGAATAAAATAAAAAATAATTTATCAACTTTGCATTTAAGTAGCTCTGTTATTATTTTGTTATATTATGTATAATTTATTCATGAATGTTTCCTTTACTTGTAAATTAATATCTTAATTATTTAAATATTGCTCTTATCATAGTCATATATAAATATTTTATATATTTTAATTAAATTAAATTATTTTAATTATGATTAAGCTGATCCCAATTCAATCATAGTTAGACTACTAACTTAAAATTATTATTTCGATTAGTTCAAAGTTTTAAATAACTTTTAGGTAAATTATACTTTTCATTTTTATGAATATAAAAAAATTGCCATCATTATATTATATAAAAAATTATTTAATTATGAGTAAAATATTATTTTTTTTGAAATCATTTTTCTTTAACTTTTTATATTGTTTAACTCTTATATAAAAGGAATTCTTACTCTAGTTTACTCTTAATTTTTAACCAAATCTAGCATGGACAATAACCAAGTAATTATTCAAGAATATTATTCTATTTATTATGTTTATCTAGTAGTAGAGTCAGAAATTCGTACATGCCTAAATTTTATTTTTAAAATTATTTTCAATTTTATTTTTACTTTAAAATTAATTCTCTTAATTTATAAAAAATATAAAATTATTTTTTTACATGCAAATGATTTATAGGACTCAAAATTTTTTTAACAAAAACTGGGTCTTAAAATATTAAAATCAATATTAAATATATTTTCAATATTATTTTAAGATATTTTATTGATTAAAAATAATAAAAATATGAAATATAACAATAATTTTTTTTAAAAAAATAACTACATTAAAACACTTATATATATAGTATTTTGATATAAAATGATATAAAATTTGAAAAATTAATTAATATTTATCATATTTTATATATTTTTTTAAAAAATTATTTTTTTATTCGGGTATTCGGGCCAAGCCCGAACCCGATCGGGCTTGGCCCGAATTTCCTCGGGCCTAACAATAAAAAAATAATTTTTTTTCGGGCTTAACCCTAAAATTTTCGGGCGGGTTCGGACTGGCCCGTCGGACTCGGCACAAATTACCGGCTCTAATTACACTGATTAGACTCACTGTAATCATTCCTCATGGAAGCTAATATACGAATTTCATCACATTTGCCTCTTTAACTTCATAAGGACTAACGCTGTCAAACGATCAAGAAATATCTGGTCTTCAAATCTCAAGAAGCCACCAAAAAGTAGTTATATTATTGACCACACTAATTGCTAAATCCTACCTATATTTCATTCATCAATATGTTCACCCAAATATGCACGTGAAGTTGCAGGCAAATGAAGGGAGAGAGTAGAAATGGACCTCCAATCCAGTAGGCCGACAGAGCAATCTAGCAAGTCATTTTTCAATTGAGTACTCAATAGTGCCATACAAAGAAACTGCCATGCATGATAAAATTATTGGGTCCTCAGAAACAAAATGTTATGAGAAAAAGATCAACTCTAATGCATAACCTTTTCAAAGGTAAATGGAGTTATAGCACAGAAACAAGCAAACACTCTTTCATAATTCGCACAATTGTTTTCCCTGGCAATAAATCTAGTATCAATGGTTGCCTAAACTGAAAATTCACTAACTTTCCAAGGCCATATGCTCTGTTGGCCAACTGGACCAAGCACTTAATAAAAGTAGAAAGAACAAACAGAGAAAGAAAGGACTAAAGTAAAGAAAACCCAAAATTCAAAAACTCTCAAATTGCTAGATTCACATCAGACTTATGTCCAGCATAGCAGTAGATTGGTCTAGTTTAAACACACATGAAATAAAAATTAGATGCTTATGACAAACGATTTATTATAGGAAAAAAGAAAAG